TCTAACTTGTGACAATTTCTTTGAACCCGGCCATATTGTTTACAGACAATACAAAGCTCTCATTAGATACCGACCTTTTTAGCTTCCACCAGGAGTCTCTTGTGTTTCTATGGTTACCAGACAGGTTAGCGAGCATCCAACAAGAAAGAGATAGTGGGCTGCAGCGTGGGTATTTTCCGTTAATTATACAAAATTAGAAAAAAAGATGAATAGAGTGAGGCCCTTTGAATGGCATCTTCAGTCTCTTATGATTCGCTGTGTTTCATGTTGTGATTAATGCCAAAACACATCAACAGTTAACTTCAGTTTTATTTTTTGGGATTGCTTATCATTTGAAGTTGAAGAAAACCTAAAATTGCTCACTAAAAGGAGCATCTTAATTAATAGTTAAAGCAGATTTTTAATGGGCTCAAAATTCCCTATTTTCTGTATGTGATAATGTTGTTTCTTCATCATAAACAAACCCAGTTTTGCTTTGTTTCATTCACGCATGTTTAATGCAAAACTGAATATTTAGACTGTGTTTTTCTCTCAAACACTGTTCCATCTTGTGAGGTCATGTGTAGGGGTGTGCAAAAATATCGAAATATCGACATATCGCATCGTTTAATGTGATGATACAGTATCGATATCGTAGGTTGCTGTATCGCTATATCGCCAAGAGTATTGTTTGGTATATTTTACTAAATTTTACTGAATTATTTGGTTACAGCGCTACAGTTTTGTTGCTTGTTCAGAGGAAGGAAACTCGTTTATGCGACACGTTTGACATTTTCACTGTTTTGATAATTATTCAAATGTTTGTGTTTCATATGAACTTTGCACAAGAAGTGGTTTAACAAAGACTTTTAGTATCACAGCCATGATTTAGCCTTTATTTTTTATTGAACCATATCGAATTGTTTTGAAATATATCGTATTTAATCGAAAGTGCACTGTATCAAGATATGTATCGTATCGTGGCTCATGTATCGAGTTATGCATCGTATCGGCAACTTCTTAATGATATCCAGCCCTAGTCATGTGGTGATACAGGAAGTGCTCCACTATATTTTCAAACTCCACGTACCTTCACTAGAATCATTTTTGATGATTTCAGTCCAATCTTAGGTGAAAAAAGGTAAATGAAAAAATTTTATAAAATAAAAATAATTAAAAAAAAACGTATATAATAAAATAAAGGTAAATTTGAAGATGTGGACAGACTAATCGATGAGGTAACAGCATTATGACTTGGCTTAAAGCTCACAAGAGTAAATTTTGTGTAATATAGGACCATTAAAGGTACACTCTGGTACTTTTATGGTATAGGGTAGGTCAGATCTGGGGAGAGCCTGCTCACAGTAAGAATGCATGTCTCTTAGCAACAAAATATCTGTAATCAAATAAGAATATAAGAAAATATAAGAAAATCAAATATGGATAAGTTTAACATGACAGTATGGGACATTCCTTTTTGCCCTACTACATGGTTGTTAGTTATGGGCAGAGGTGGGACCTGCAAGTTGTGACTTGAGTTCAAGGCATGACTTGAGTCACTATTTTTAGGACTTGAGACTTGACTTGATAAAATCGACTAAGACCGGGGACTCGACTTGGACTTGAATATCAGTGACTTGACAGAAGTGACAGAGACAGAAGACTTGAGAAGCACTTTTTAATCTAAATTCCTTCTATTTTGACTGTAATGATTCACATTAAGATCTTGTCAAGACATTTAAAAAGGAAAAAAATACTTTTCTACATCTCTTATATACTCTATAAATACTCATATATATATAAATATACTTAGATTTTAAGTACAGTCTATCTTCAAATTCAGATAAAGTGCAAAAATCTAAGCTGTAATTGGTACTTTGGTTTAAAGACTTGAAATGACTTGAAGCTCAAAGCAGATGACTTGGACTTTACTTGGACTTATGGGCCAGAGACTCGACTTGGACTTGCCTGTCTTTGACTTGGGACTTGACTTGGACTTGAGGTCAAAGACTTGAGACTTACTTGAGACTTGTAAAACAATGATTTGGTCCCACCTCTGGTTATGGGATTCCCTAACATGATGTCATGATTTCCAGCCAGGAAGGAAGTAAAATTTTAAATCTATAAATTGCCCAAACTGGGAGAACATGTGTAATTTTTTGTGTAAAATTATCTTAATTGTGTTTTAGTAAAATGTGTATAAAATGTGTAGCCCAGCCTGTCCAATAGGCACGTTAAATCCAAGATTGAAATAGCTTTGCGGCACAAATTGAAATGACACAAATTGATTGTTCTAGTTCTCTGTTCAGAGCAGTCTCTCCATTATCTTACAGTATCACAATCCAAGAAAAGTCATGCCTCAGCCATTTAGCCTAGTTTCCTTGTCCTCCCTGGACCAGAGCGACCTAGTGCTGTAGACAGAACACAGCAGCCTGCTCAGTTTTGTGAAATTCATGCTCTTTTTAATGCATGGGCCTGCAGACAGATCACTGCGAAGCTTCTACACAGAGACATGGAGGAATAGCAGATGCTGGCACGTTCAAAGTGTCAGTAACATCAAAATAACTGGAGATCATAAAGCTAAAAACACAACTCCAGTTCTGTATATAGGAAATTAGCATGAGTCTTGCTGTTTACTAAGCGAAGTTCTATGCAAATAGTGACATTTGTTCTTCTCAGTGAAGCGTTTTATTGTTCTGCAAATGTTATGGCAAAAAATCTATTTGCAATACTAAGAGCTCTCTGTTATGTCGTCTGGAGCTGAGGGAAAGACAGATTGCAGATGGCATTTGATGCATTGAGTGCACTAGATTAAGGAGGAGGATACACTGACCTGCTCTTGAAGAAAATGTGCTCTTTGAAATTATTCTTAAGCACTCTTGAATGTTTGAGCTTTTCTCCTGCTGTTACCATCTCCTTCACCTTTCACCTAAGTTTCAGTACAGTACACAACAAGAAGAAATGGTCCATTAACAGTGCTGCAAATTCTAGTTTTCAGTATGTCCATGGGTGCTTTGCTGGATTTTGGTCCTGAACAAGCATTTACCCCTGAACTTCAAGTGTGAGTTGCAGAGGTCCACAGTCTCAAAGTTGCTCTAGTTGTGGTTTGTATCTGTGAACACTGACACCTTCTTTCTTGAACCTTTAAACCATATAATTTCCACAGTACTTTATGCAGTGGTACCATGCCTTCTTTCCTACATACATGTTTATGCATAATGCGAATGTCCCTCTCCTGAATGATCCCAGCTCTTAACAGACCAACTCTCCTGACACACTCCACTGCACACACACAGGCAGGAATGAGAGGCAGACCTTCATGTTGTATGTGCTGTTTCTTCCCTATTTTCCATGTTATTTATTGAGCACAAGGTACAATTTACATTAAAATGAGCCCTGTTAGAGAAGTCATAATAGGAGAGAGTGGGAGCACGCTGCTTCTATTGATAGATGTCGAGTGGTTAAATAAAAAAAGCAATAATGAAAGGGACGACAGCCTGAACATAGCCTTGTCCATTCAGTCAATCTCTTTGTGCCAAATGAAATATGCAGTGGAATATGTTTAAATGATGTTATGCAACAGGAACAAAAACATGCTTTATTTTGTGCTAATAATATGTAAAACCCACAACATGGATACGATTAAATTTACCCAAGCTATAAGCTATAAATGCATCGTGAGATGATGTTTTCTTTTCTTTTTGCTCACTAGCTATGATGGCTTTTCCATTGTTGCTAGCCAGTTAGTGATTCACTCAAAATTTAATTGGATCTGTTTGAATGTGTTGCATGTGGTCATAAGGTTAAGTACTGGAGAAAGTAAACTTTGTTTATATAGAGCTTTTCACTGATATATAGTCACAAAATGCTTCACAGTAAGAAGTCATCGAAGTGTGCAGCAGAGATCCAGTCAAAAATAAATAAGGTTAAAATGCTTGTTTAGAGAGGTAAGTTTAGGTGCTTTTTAAAGGAATCCACAGAGTCCAAAGAATCAAGAGACGAGGGGCAACAGCTTCAAAGGGGCGGTCTTCTCGAGTTTTAAAACATGTTCAAGGGACCATCAGCAGGTTCTGTCCTGAGGACCTGATGCTCTGAGCCGAGCTGTAAAGTTTGATCAGGTCTGTTATATACACAGGAGCATAGGGCCCGAGAAGTCAAAACAAGAATTTTAAAGTGGACGCGATACAAAACATGGAGCCAGCAAAGCCTTTTCACAGTATGTGTGATGTGGGTCCTCCTATTTGTGTGGGTCAAGAGCCTTGCGGCTGAGTTTTGGACACACTGCATCGGGACAGCCCTCTCTTGTTGAGGTGAAGAGACAGTTGCATTTGGCTAACCGCGAGGAAGCAAAAGCATGAAGTATCATCTTTAGTTCTTTTGAGACCATGGGTCTGAGTTTAGAGATGTTACGCAGCTGGAAAAAGCAGTATTTTATTAGTTACTTTGAGTGGTGTTCAAGGGACATGGCCTCATATGTATTTGCATACATTAGTATACCAGCAGTCTTTACATTTCTCCCTGCCGATATTATCATAATCAAATACTATCTAAAATATACTAAGATAGGAATGTGGCAGTTTACACAAGAGGAGAGATTGAGATCATAAGAACAAGAAATGGCAAGATTTTGTATTTGTGGCTTTCAGTTCTAAATATCTTATATTTTTTGCTGTCATTGTATAACTATGTTTTTGAGCTACTGTTTCATAAGAGATTTTACTCACCAGCATTAACCCTTTTTTGTCCAAATCAAATGTAAACACATGGAAAAAATCTCACGAGATCATTTTGCACATATGTGCATAATCTTTTGGCAATTTAGTCTTGATCTTGTCCTATTCCTTCTAACATGGCAAGACAATTTCAGTTAAAATATGCATTATTACCAGTGAATGGTTTTTCGGCAAGTGTCCACCATTTTCTCTTCTGTCAAATTAGACTAGAATGTTCCTGGAATAAATGAAAGATAAAATGTGCTGTTTATTCTGCAGTCCTTGTTGACATGTGATTTGTGTCTACAGCTCTACATCCAGACGACCACCCTGACCATCTCCATGAACCTGAGTGCCTCAGTCGCACTGGGCATGCTCTATATGCCCAAAGTGTACATCATCATCTTCCACCCAGAGCTCAACGTGCAGAAGAGGAAACGCAGCTTCAAAGCCGTGGTCACCGCAGCAACCATGTCCTCACGACTCTCCCAGAAACCCAGCGAGAGGCCCAACGGAGAGGCCAAGACCGAGCTGTGTGAGAATCCACCCATCGACCCCATGAGTGAGTACAACACAAACACAACACAAAGCAGAACTGAACAGGGATCAGCTCTATTATTATAGTCACAATAGGGAGACTGCTTTGGCACAGAGGCGCAATTATACAAAGTACACTCTAAAAAAGCTAATTTAGAAAAAATACAAAGTTGAAAATAAGACCTAAGTAGTTCCCCACACTAACCACAGATTTGTGACTAGCCTACGTACTTCACAGTATGCCAAATCATTGTTCGATTTGTAATCCTCTCAAACAAATTATTATTATTCTTTGTTCCACAGACTTTTTTGGATAGCACAAAAAAACATATTGAAATGAAAATATAATTCAAATCTATGATAAGAATTTGCCAAATAAGAATGAAAAAAATGACTTTTGTGAGCTTTAAACCATGTTATAATTCTGCTACCTCCTCAAAAACATACCTGGAGTGCTTTGTTTCATTCAGGCATTTTTGAGTAATCCTTTATTACTAGTCTGTCTACATCTCCAGAGCTCATAATGCTCTGTTCCACATTGCGATGCCATGTAGTGGTAGTTTTCAAGTTAACAGCTTCCGTTTACCTTTAGTTCAGCAGAGATAGGAAATTTCAGGGCTTAAATTATCCAGAATATTCTAGTGAAGGCAATAGTGCAGTGGAGCACTTCCTATATTACTACATGACATCACAAGGTGGGACAGAGTGTTTTCTGTTTGAGAGAAGAACTCAAGAACTAAATATGCAGGGTTTTTGTATTAAACATGTGTGAATGAAACAAAACACACCTCCAGGTATGTTTGTGATGAGTCAGAAAATAGTTTAATATAGGCACTTTTCTGTCTAGAATGTGCTTTAAAACTGTCCATTTCTTTGAGAGCAGCACATATATATTCACTTACCTATCTAGTCTTGAATTACTGACCCTTTCTTAAGATGTAAGTTCTGTCGTTTTTACATGTTCAATGGCCTATACATATTAGATTCACTTATCTTTTACCTGATACTTCTTTGAGCGATCAGAGTGGTAGCCCTGAGAAGATGGGGGAATGGAGTGTGAAAGAAGTCTTTGTAAGCAGGTCAGACCTCTTTTTCCTCTGTAGCCATGTGTTACTCATCTCATGCTTCATGTTAATCATTCAGTCAGATCCACTGGTTGGGTGTGAGGTTCGAGGACATTATGACAAGCCTCTGTTTGATCACCTGCTCTGGCACCATTGCCCCTGTCTAGAGACGTGGACAAGCAGACTCATCTTACCTGACCAGCCAGAACCACACGCTTTGACAAAACTCTACAGAGACGAGTGGATCTGGAGCCGTATCCTGTCTCCCTGATTTTAGAGGGTGTGATTGTCAGACGGATACTCAGACAGACGCATGGTTGGTTTGCATCAAAGTGTCAAAAACAAACATGATGTAAAAAGGGGATAAAACAACATAAAGCATTGTTTCCCAAAGGCTGACCCTCAGGTGGGTCGCAAGAGATTTTTTTGGGTCGCCTTGTCACAGTCTGCATGTAGGTCTGCAATATACAGTTCTGACACAAGAAAAAGTGAGTGAGTCAGCGAATCCTATCTGCTTGCCCTGAATGAATGTTCCTGCAGCTAAAGTTGAGAAATGCTGCTTCGTTGTCCAAAAAGAAGGGTGATAAATCAGGAAAGGTCAGTGCACTTCAGGATACTTATGGATACCTTTTATTGCTGATAATACTAAGTAAGTAATACTAATTGTTCAGAGAGACACAATCACTCAGTCAACAATAAAATATCCTCATTAATGTTCAATAATGGTCAAATCTACCTTTATTTTGTGTCTATTGACTTGGGTCGCGAAGGTTTGTGACTTTTAAATATGGGTCCCTAGAAAAAAAGTTTGAAAAACACTGACATAAAGGACTAAGAACCAACTTAGATTTTTTGAGAAATAACTGTCAAAGCACTAAACTATTACTTATGTAATTATATATTTTGTTCTGAATGATACAAGACTTTTGGAGAGGAGATGTCTTCTGCATTTGAGAGACACAAATTAGCGGCTGTGGTTGGACCATCCCAAAATTGGATGGCAGATTTTGTCGCTCTATTTTTCGGTCCCAGTCCCTTCTGAATTCAAGCAGAATGCAGAAGGGACTGGCTGGTCGGGCAAAGACTCATTCAGTTATGTAGTGGTGGTATAGTTTTATTTTTGGCCCTGGTTTAGATCTCATTTAATCTTGGGTCTGCTGTTATTGTTAAGGCACATTCAAAATCTGAAACAACCTTAAAGCTATTCTACGTACCTTTTATAATCAAAGGTCTGTCCATATGGAGATGTTATTGCTCTGTCTAGAATACTCCGTAGTATGGGACTAAAGCTCTGTCTTGCAGGTAGGTTTTATCAACATGTCTTTCTTTGAGTGCAGACTTTTTGAGTTATTCTTGTGTAGTCAGCTGCATTTATTAGTTTTAATATTTATATGAAAAGTCTGAAAATCATTGGGATTATACATTTTCAAGTTTAAGATGTTTTAATGTTTAAAGAGGCGAAACATGAAGAAAGTTCTTTAGCTGAAGCAAAAATCCATCAGACGGCTGTTGTCATGGTGCAGTGAGGAATGATTGACAGTTTATGCAAATGAAAGCTCCCAGCCTCCGAAGGCCTTAGCAACACTTCTAATCACACGCAGTGATCATGGCGTCCCAGGTGCAGGCGCACATAAACCTGCCACTGAATTCTCCCTCACAGCTGACACATCTTCAGGGGAACGTCTCCACTCGCCAACAGTTGTCACACTCATCTGTTGAGAGCTGAACGAGCCGGTGTGCCCATAACAGTCATCATCTGTGCATTAGGCTGCGTCATCTCGGCAAAACAACCAATAGTGGAAGATTATAACAATAGGGCCACACTGGAGCATGCGTGAAGAGGAAGGACTGGGGTTCAGCTCCTGCTTAGATGTGTTCTGGCTAAATTGAAAATAATCCTGCTAGGTTCATCCAGCACCTAAAAATATTGCTATAGAAACCAATAATATTTTAGAATTTTAACTTATTTGGCCACATACTGCAAAGAGATTGAAAGTTATGTAAACTACCAAGGACAAGGTTGCTGATTAGCTCGGCTCAGAGTACCAAGGTCCCACGTGGATTTCCCTGCCTTATCAACCCAAAACATGCACATTTGGTGGTTTTCGGAAGACATCAGTATTCTGTATGTCAATAATATTTAATACAGATGGGATTTATAGGGTCTCATGGAAATGATCTGGTTTAACATAAGGGTAGCAGGATTCCAGGGAATAACTTAGAAGGTGATGACAAAAGACAGCATGGGTTACAACAACAACATCTGGTTTAACATTTGCAAATTTACCGTAGGAAAAACTAATTCATGCCCCCTATCTCAGAGTATGACATGGTTACATTGTGGAATCTGCAAATCCTCCAGCTAAGGTGGTTCTGACCAAGCCTTGCCCGGAGATGGGTCCTGGGGCTTTGCACAGCTCCTGACAAAATACCCAGCAGTGTTTCCCGTAGAAAATTGGTTAGGCAAAAGTGACCGTAGTTTTGTGATGAGAGGATTCACATCGTTCAGAGGGACGTAGTCAAGGCAGGGGCCACTCATTGTCAAGGCGGCCGCTCTAACTATAAAGTACTGTGGGAAACACTGCCCAGTGGTATTAAAAGAATGGGTCAAATGCAGAGGATGAAATTTCCCACGGGGATCAATAAAATATAACTTCACCTTAATGATGGTATGCCCCAGCAATAGTTTTATGACACTCTAATAATTAATGCATGCTCACCACTGTGTGAACTATGCAGTGAAGGCTGGAGTGTATCGGGGGAGATCAAGTCCATCTCTTCCCATCACACATGTGGCTCATCCAACAAATATAGTCAGCGTAGAGGGCAAACCTTAACATCTGCCTCTGCCGCACACACCAGTCCCAGGACAGGACTGCAGTCTCAAAACGCACCATCCAAAAGAGCACAATGTCAGCTGCTGTGTGTGTCCCAAGCCTTCTGTCTTTCCTCTCTCTCCTCCTCCTCTCTCTCCTCCTCATCTCTCTTTTTGCTCTCCTCTCTTTCCTCTCAGTCCTCCTTTATCTTCTCTCTGTCTCCTCATCCTTTCTCTCCCCTCTCTCCTCTCCATCTTCTCTTATTCTCCACTGTCTCTCTGTCACCCTCCTCCTCTCTCTCTCTCTCTCCCTCCTCTCTCTCTCTTCTATCCTCCTCTTTCTTCTCTCTCTCCTCCTCTCTTGCTTCTCCTTGCTCTCTTCTCTCTCCTCTCTGTCTTCTCCTATGTCCTTTCTCTCCTCATCCTTTCTCTCCCCTCTCTTCTCTCTGTCTTCTCTTATCCACCTCTTCCTCTCTCACTCCTCTCTCTCTTCTTCTATCCTCCTCTTTCTTCTCTCTCCCCTCCTCTCTTGCTTCTCCTCTCTCTCCTCTCTGTCTTCTTCTCTCCTCCTCTCTTTCTTCGCTCTCTCATCTCTCTCTTCTTCTATCCTCCTCTTTCTTCTCTCTCCCCTCCTCTCTTGCTTCTCCTCTCTGTCTTCTTCTCTCCTCCTCTCTTTCTTCTCTCTCTCCTCTCTCTCTTCTCTCTCTCATCTCTCTCTTTTTCTATCCTCCTCTCTTCTCCGATCCTCCTGCCCTTCTTTAGCAGCAGCCGATGTGACATTTATTAATGGCGAATTTATGTGCATGACCGCCCCCAAACCTGAACTGTGGCTTCCCATCCCAGGAGAGTGTCCGTCAATTCCTGTAACCATCAGAGCGCCAAATACCTCCCTTTTAGAGGCGTCAGGCGGGGAGACGGACCAAGAGTGATTTATGGGATAAAGGCCATTACCAGTGCAACATGTTTAAATTTGCATCTATGATCAGACTGTAATATCTGCATGATGGCAGCTCTTACGGACGAGATGTAGCTGTCTTGTAATGTAAAATAAACAAGCCAAACACAAGTAATGAAACAACCTAATGCGCTCAACAACTGAGAACATAGTCATTAAAATTATAATGAAAATGAATAAAATACATGTTA